AAAACTGATACCGTATGTTGTCTGTTTGGCATGAATTACGATTTGCTTGTTTAAAATGTGAATTGATAATGCTTACTGAGGAAGAGGAAAATGAAAGATTGTGTAGACTGATAATTGTATGATGGGGTCAGCCTGACTAGATATCTTGGGAGATGGTGGACGGACCGGGTCCGTAGGGAACCCTACCGGGATTGTGGTCTCCCATACCGGACGGGGTATGGAGATCTTATGTGTTTTGGCGCCCATACCGGACGGGGTATGGGGACGGCCCGTTTCACCCTCATACCGGACGGGGTATTGAGATTTATGGTTTTGGCGCCCATACCGGACGGGGTATGGGGACGGCCCGTTTCACCCTCATACCGGACGGGGTATTGAGGTTTATGGTTTTGGCGCCCATACCGGACGGGGTATGGGGACGGCCCTGGAAACTGATTATGAATGTTAAAGGTTAACGGGTAGCGGGACCCCGATGGACCCCCATGGATACTAGTAAGCTGGTAAAAGAGAAAATGATATGTTGTATAATGATTGAATTACAAAAGGCGTGATAAGTGCTATGTTTTACAGCTTATATTATTCCATGATTGTGATAATGTTATTGTTTTCTTATATTGTTTCATGAATTCCACCGAGGTAAGTGGATGGTAAAGGTTTTATCATAAATAAAAGGATTTGTTGCAAATCATGCTCCATTGGTCTTTTGTGTTTTTCTACCCACCTTTACCTCCGTGACGGTGAGATATCGTGATGTTCTTACTGGGCTAGTGTAGCTCACTCCTTATTTAACCATTTCAGATCAGGAAGACATGGTTCCCGAGCCCGTTCCGCAAGAGGACGACGAAAGGGATGCCTAGAGACTCTGTAGTCATACTCATAGCTTTATTTTCGAGTTTCTCTTTTAGTTAGTTTAATCTTTTATATTTTAAGCACGTTTTTGGTTTTCGTGTAAGGGATGTTAAATGAAATTTTGATCTCGCTTCCGCATTTGATATATTTAAATACTCATTTAATTTTAATATTTCCGGGGTCGTTACAAAAATATTTAATGAAGAAATGACAGCTAATATATATACATATATATATATATATATTACAATTACACTTGAATTTTTGGATTTTTTTTTTGGGTATTTAACCTTGTTGAAATTATATTTTTTTGTTTTACTTAAAATTTTCTAATTTTTTTTTTTATCATTTCTTAATTTACTTAACTACATATTTCATATAAATATTACAAAAATTAATTTATTCATTCCAAACGTAACGGGAAAAATCAAAATAATTAAAAGTTATTGAATTGAGGTTGAATTAAATTACTAAAAAATTATTTAAAAAAATTTATCCTAAAAAATATTCACAAATTTTGAAAAATTAAAAATTTAATAAAAGTGAATTTATTTTTTCAAAATAATTATTTAATTTCAATAAATTAAAAAAAATGAAAATTACTGAATAAATAGGGACTAGTATAGCCAAATAGGGGACTAGTGGGACAGTACAAATCAATTCATTCGGCTAACCCGCGGTTGACACGTCATTGTCGCCAACTTCCTGTCCCGAAGTTACATATATAAATACTTTATAATTAAGTTATACACACACATATACATATATAATATGACCTAAAAATATATTATTAAAAAATAATATTTTCTAAATTTACAAAATATTAATGCTAATTTGAATTTTTTTAAATAATAATAATAATCACCATCCTCATTATTATATTATTATTATTATTATTATTGTGGTTGTGATTTAATATTTGCTTTACAAATTATAAATATAAAACTCCAAATAATAAATTGGATTTAAAAACTTTTTAAATTAAATTATAATTAACGAATAAAAATAATAATTTTCTCAATTATTTAATATCATTATTTATTGCCTTAACAATAATCAGTAAGGAGTTTCTCAACGAAACAAAAAAAAAAATTAGTCGTTAGAGAAAAATATAAAAAATAAAAAATTCCACGTAAGAAAATAATGAGACACAACCAGGGCCACCTGGCACCGAATCTTAAGCTGCGTCACCGACCAATCACAACTTGCAGTCTTGAACGGATCTTCCTTACACGCACCAATAGTTGTCGGAACGAAAACCTCAGCACACATAATTTAATTTTACTGTTTCTATTTTCCGCCATTTTTTTTAGTATATAAAAATGTAAAAAAGTAAATTCCATTTTAATTAATAACATTTTTTAATATTTTGTTTTCAAATAATTTAAATTTTTTATTTTTAATTTATATTTAATATCATCAGAAAGAAAAAGCATTATTTTATTAATTTTTACATATTAAAATTTAAAAAGTAAAACCACGATTGATTTTAAAATAAATGAAAAAAATAATATGTAGTAACAATAGAGAATTTAGATAACTTATTTTTTTTATTATTACAAATTTGTATTTGTATATTCGTTAAATAATGTTATATATGAATTATGTGAATTATAATTACAATAAAAAATATACCCAATATATATATATACACACACACACACACACACGTGCGGGGGTGTATGTGTGTATATATATATATTTAGATTCAACTCCTAATTCTTGTGTACCAAAAATGGTGATTATTGAATTTCAGGGACATTTTTTGAGATTGCTATGAATTATATATGTCATTGCATGCTTTACCAAATTTGAGTTAAATGCATTGAATTCACCTTCAAGTGGGAGCAT